AGACACATCAGCTCGTTTTATGAGCATGGGGTGATGTGTGCAGCTGGAAACCCGAGCGGTTTCCTTGCATTTGGAGCACGTGGATCAGATAACGATGGCTCATTAAATGTTCATTGAAAGGCGGTGGCAAGGTCGGGAGCTTTCCTCAGGAGCACTCGCTCTGCAGACCCCCCGCCCTGTCCCTTTCCAGGAGAAACTTTGGGGCCATGAGATATTCCCAGTTTAAAACAACTCCATGGTATCTGTCAGATCGTAGAGGGCCTGAGCCAGCTCCCATCGAGCGAGGGAGGGTTTTTCCACTGGCTTTAAGAGGCGCTGGAGCGGAGCCATGCTCTGTGTAATGCGGATCCGGGAGTGTGCGTGATGCTCTGCATGATGACAGAATTTCTGGGAGATTTTCTGGCCTAAACCAAAAACCTTGGACCGCCACTCCCCGGGACTGCTCTGCTGGAGGAGTGGGGAGGCTGGAGACACTGAACCTGGGCCTGGAGCGGGGTTTTGCAGCTGTGAAAGCATCCCTGGAAGGGCCGAGAGAGCCCGGCTGTGCCACATCTGCCCTGCCTCGTGCCAGGATTTGGTTTCTTGGGTTGAGTCCACAGCTGTGTCCGTGTCTGGTGCTGCCGAGGGGAGAGAACACCTGGGAGGGGGTGAGGGGCTCCCTGCAGCACCCCAGGCTGTCTGGGGTGCTGTGGCTGAGCTCCTCTAGGCCCTGAGCTGAGTGGCTCATTCTGTCTGCCCCAAAAATACCCCAGTGCTGCCAGTGGCACCGGGATGGGGCTGTCATCACCAACTGCCCTGCCTGCACCAGCTGGGCTGGGGAGTTTGGTTGGGAATCTTGATGAGAGGAAAGAGGAGGGAAGAGAAATGTTCTGGACCACTGTGTGGCATTTTCAGCAGAATCCTTACGCATTAATGTGTTTTTTCTTCCATAGGTGCTGGGTTAGGCAGATTTGCACCCTTGCAGGAAGTACCACTTTACTGATTCCTGTGGTTGCCTCTGCCCTAACTCCATCCTGCTGTTCCTATGTGCCTTCTGACTGCTCAGAAGAGCAGGAGACTTTCTTTTTACACCCAGAAAGGATGTTCATTGGGGCTGGGATAGCTGGAGCAAAGCTGAGAGATACCAAGTGGTCCCAAAGAGATGCTTCAGTTGCTCCATCTCTCTTTTTTTCCAGGCTGATGGACAAGGCTGGATTCTCACAGAGCATTTGCACCATGTCCTGGGCTTTGTAGGACATGGCCGGTGACTTCCCTTTGCCCCTGGAGACCTGATTTATCCCTCTCACAGGGATCTCACAAGCACATCAGAGCTGGAGGGTGATGGAGGACCACAGGGAGAGAGTTCTCCCTTGGACTTCCCACAGAGCTCCTGCTCCTACCACCACTCCTGAATTTCCAAAGGAATCATTGGTATCTTTGGCAATTCCAAGGAGGAGTCTGCTCCCAATGAACTCCTGGTGCCTCAGGATGGAGCAACACAACTCTCTGAAGTGGGCTGGTGTCACTGTGGTCTGACAGCTTTTAAGTGGGTACAAGGGAAACCTTGGCTCCACCATCTGCATTAACCTGGCTGGTTTCAGCACTTGAACATGCATGGAAGAATGACAATGGGAGGGTGAAGAGGGAAGAGCAGCATGTGGAAAAAAATCCTGAAGCTGTCTCTCAAAATCACCTGGTGATAAGGCCTTTTCTGGAGTGCCCCATGCAGCTGGCAAGAGAAACCAGGCTTTTATGTTTGGATCTGGCTGGTTTTTCACTTTCTGCAGCCAAAAGGATCTGGATAAAGTTTGCCTGGAAGATTAGCTGGCACTGAGCCTGACTAGACATCTCTGGAAGCCTCCCCTCCAGCAGGAGTAGGTCCCGATTCCCTCCTTCGCCAGCCCTGCCAAGGCAAGTGTGGGGGAATGTCCCCCTGGAGGGGACAGTTCCATCAGCCCTCTCCCCCCTGGCACGCCAAATCCCTGCTCCCACTGCAGTGGGGATGCTGGGGAGAGAGCAGATGAGATCCCAAAGGATCTTTGTCACCAGGGATGACAGGGAAGGGATGATCCACAGCCAGGACTGGGAGCACAGTGCCTTGGCACCCACGACCCTTCCCTAGGGACACATCCTTCGTGTGTCTTTCCCAAAACCAGAGCTGGGCTGGGAAATGGGGTGCATGGGAGCCCCCCAAGCAGGGCTGGCCTCCCCCTGCCAGCTCCAGGGCAGATGTGTCCCAGCTGCTGCACACCAGGTTTGGCACCAGATGTGCTGTCCGGCCACATCTGAGCTGCCAGCTCTGGGGCACAGCTGGCAGGGGATGGAGGCAGGGGAAGAGATGCTGTGCAATGCCATCCCCACAGGGTCCATAGACACCCCATGCTGACCCAGACACAAAGCAAATTTTGGGTTTTGTGCCCAGGGAGGCCTGGCAGAGGCAGGGGAGACTGCACTGGTAGCAGCTGCTGATGCCTCTGGAGCGGAAAGCACAGTCCCTCCCCTCTCATTCCTTTTTTTCTGTCTTTTTTTTCTTCCCCCCCCCCCATCTCTGGCTGATCTTAAAAAAGCCCAGGCGGTTTGGTCTTCATGAAACCCAAATGCCTTTTGCAGCATCAAGGCTGGATCCCATAAGTAATATCCCAGCATTGGAGAGTAAGACAGTATATGAAGTAGACGGGGAGCTATAAAGACACTTTAAAAGGGGCAATAAAAGTTTTGGGTTTCATATTGTCTTACCAAAGAAGAGAATAACAGAGAAGCAGGAAATTTCAGTAGCAGACATGACAAAGGTCACAGCACTCAGACTGCACCTTAGACAAAAACACCTACTCTTATGAAAACAGCCAGAACTTTTGGCAGGGGCTCAAGAGCTCTTACAGGCAAAGCTCTCGGCAGCGCTAAAAGGTTACAAGAGACTGTTTTGTCTACGTTGCTGTAGATGTTTATAATATTTCCCTGCATTGGTGTTGTAGGGGATATCCTGCCTGGGGTAGTGGATCCAGCCCTGCACCTTCCTCCTGTGTCAGGGTGCTGGGTGCTGCCATCAGGGCAGGGACCCTGTGGCTGTGCCCAGGTGTGTGTCAGTCCCAAGGCTGGACTTGCACTGGGGTGCCAAGGGATGGATGCTTGGCAGAGCTGCAGCATCGCCCTGGGGCAGGGAGAGAAGGAGACAAAGCAAACCTTGCCTGAGATTTTGCTGTTTGTAAAACAATTTTGGTGGGTTTTTTTTGCAGCTGAATACATGGCAGGTGGGAGCAGGAGGTTTTATCTCCTCAGCTGCTCCTCAGCTAACGTGCCCTCCTTGTTCACAGGGAGTTGGCCAACCTTTGGTGCCTCATGCTGCGAGTCGTGGTCACTCAGTGTCCTCCTGCCAGCACTGCACCCACACCAGGCTCTCACCATGCCCACGGTTCCCATGTCCCCAGGGCTCTCTGCAGGGCTGTGCCTGTCACTGCAGCCCAGGAGGGACCAAGCAGTCCCAAAATGAGCTGCTGGGGTGAAGGAGCCTCTGATCAGTGGCTGCAGCAAGCAAAGGAGGCTGCTGGCACTGCTGGTTAGGATCCTGGGCAGGGTCAGCGTTGAGTATTTGCATTTGGGGTGACAAACACCCAGGAAGAGCCGGCGTGGCCGTGGGGTGCCCATGGGGGACAAGTCAGGAGGATGCTGTGCACCCTCAGAGGCATCTCTTGTGGGCAGTGCTGAGCTACTTCTTTCATTCCAAATCAGAGCACTTGGGCCTGTTTTTGGGGCCACCCTGAGCAGCCCTCACAGGGCAAAGAGCTCCAGTAGCATGCAAGCAACGAGGAAAGCCTCGCACGCGAATCCTGGGAGCATCTTGTAAACATCCCAGGGGCTGGATGCTGGGAAGGAATGGAGCTGTGTTGGTTTAGGTGCTGGGGAACCCTTTGAAAGCTCTTTGCTCTGCCTCTGTGTGCAGCTGCATCAGCTGTGCCACCGCTTGCCAGTGACTCTTGGATGCTTGGGGGTTCATAATTCATTTATATTTTAGTTGGAAGCTCATTCAGTTTTGGTTGTTGCCCCTTTGCAGGAAGTTGCTCTGATGAATGACTGGGATGGATTTCTCTTCCAGAGGAACCCAGGCTTAATGTGGGCTTTCTGTGGACATCTCTGTATATCAATACTGCTCTAATTGTCCATGACATATAGTCTTGGCCTTTTTCCCAGACAGTCTAAATAAATCATACACTTCTGCTATAGCAAATAATCTGTTGGAGGAGATGTTATAGGCTTACAGCCTCCCCCCCTCTCTCCAGGAGCTTCTTTTCTCTGCCTCTCATTTTCCATGTACTTTCCATACCAATGAGGCACCTGTTGCCTGTGCCTGCAGGTCTGCAAGGACAAAGTGCCCAGTGTTACAGGTCCCTTCAGGTTTGAGTAGCTCTGCTTTGGAATTGGCATCTGCCCTCGACTGAGCTGAGTGGAGCTGGAAAATTTCCCACCCCACTGAAGAAATGCTGGCATTGCACACTGGCAAAGTCCTTGTTAGTATATATTATTTACATCAAGAGAATGCATAAATAAAATAGTTAATATCTCACAAAAAATACAGGTTCTGTTAACTGGGTGTTGCAAACAAAGCTTTGTGTGCTCAGGCTGGGTGAACCTGCATGGAGGAGACAACTTGGGTCCTGCCAGGTCAGGAGAAGGTGACATGGCCTGAGAGTGCAGGGGTCTCCTGGGGCAGGGGACAGGTCAGAGCCCAGCTGAGTGCTCCTCCAGGGAGAATAGGGATATGTACCAAACTGGGAGTGCAAGCTTTGCTAGGGCTGATGGTGTAAAGGTCAATCACAGGATGGTTTGGAAGGGACCTTAAAGCCCATCGTGTTTCAATCCCCCTGCCACGGGCTGGAACGCGTTCCCCTGGACCAGGTGACTCAAGAAACTTCCCAGGGGAGAAAATCCCAGAGCTGGTGGGAAAAGATGCTGGAAAAAAATTTTCTTCTGTGCCAGAGGAAAATCCAGCAGGCAGGCATCTTCCTTTTGGTTGCAGCCCTCCATCACCCAGGAGCAGGAACACGCGTGCCTGGGGGACTCAGACGCAGCAGCAGAGCGTGGAGCAGTCCAGCCTGGCAGGGGTCCCGGTGCTCCCAGCCTTCTTGTTCTCCTTGGGCAGCAGCAGCACCAGGGCCATGGCCAAGGCACAGTGGTAGAAGCTGTGCACGTATGTGTAATCCCACTCCTGCAGGCAGGGAGAGCGCAGTGAGAAGCAGGAGCAGCAGGGCTGGGGACTCGCGTGAGGTGTGCGACATTAAATTTCAACAAGTAGCCAAAAAGAAGGGGATAAAAAAAGATTCCTGAACCTTCTGCCTCCCTTTGCTGTCAGAGAAGGAAGGATTTCCAGTGGAAAAAACCCAACAAAACTAAAGCAAAGTGGATTTAACACGTTCTAATTTGCACATTTCCCAGTTCTTGAATGAAGTGTTTCATTACCCCGCGAAGGACGCGGCAGCGAGGCCGGGGCGCGTGGGGAGGCGGCTTCTGCTAAGTGACATTTTTATGTTCTGCTAGAATTTGCAATTACTAAATGCTTTGAAAAATAATCCTTGGGGATGCCTGTGAGGTTGTATCTCGCAGCTCCCAAAGCACAGAGCAGCCGTAACGGCGGGGCTGAGTGCCGGCACGGCCGGCAGCTGTGCCGGGGAGTTATTGCCTGCCCGGCGGGACACATGGACCCTTTGGAGCAGGATGGGGGGACTGGCCAGCAGCAGGAGCAAAAGGATGTAAACAAAGGACCAAGTGCCCCTGGGAGTCACTGAGAGTCTTTTCTTTGGCATGAGCCAGCTCTGGATCCGGCCATGCCTGCGTCAGATCTGGTCCCTGCTGCATTGGTGTGAGGTGTCCTTAAGTCACCCATGCCCCCAGTTTCTAAAAAACCCTGCTCATGCTCGACAAAGCCATTCTGAGGACCCCGTGTGCCCGAGGAAAGCACATCTCATGTCCTTGTCACTCACTGAAGGGGGAGAAAGAGACAGAGCATCACCCTGTGTGCCACTTGCTGTCACACCTGCACCGAATGGATCAGGGGATGGGGACAAGCATGGACGGACCCTTGTCCCTGCTGCCAGAGCCCAGCATGCCAATCCTGGAGCCCCACGCCTCAGCTGGGTTTTGTGCAAGGCTGGATGCAGCTCTGTGGTGTGTGTGGGGATGTCCCTCTCTTGGTGATGTCCCTTACACCTTGTAGAGTCAGGGAGGATGGGTGTGCACACAGGTACCTCAAAGAAGAACCTCAGCATCAGTGCCAGCGCCCCGAAACAGAAGCCAGGACCAATCTGTTGGGTGTAGACACTCTTGTCAGGGTAGAGTCCTTTCTTCTCCTTCATCTTCTGCAGCTGGGAGGAAGAAGAGAGCACACCAAGTGTATTCACCTGGATTTAGCTGGCTGCTCCAGTCTATTCCTCATAATAATACCAATATTTTAATATTCAGCCCCAGAGCCAGTTCAGGGAGTGTGTGCCCTCACAAACCCAGTCTGTGGGAGAGCAGATCCCAGCACAGCATCTGCAGACTGGAGGATGCAGGGTGCTCTTGTGCCTTGGTCTCCTCCTTGCCCATTCCCTCCCCATGGTGGCCACTTGCTTTTAGCTGCTGGCTTAGTGGCAGTTTATAACTGGGACTTGCACCACTGTATTTCCATGATGATGGGCATCATCTTTTTGCAATTTTTATCACATTGCTCCTTGCCCACTTCTGCAGTGGCTTCCCTACCTCACTCCTGGCTGGGTCCCCAGCATGTGCTGTGAGTGGGGCACAGGCTGCAGCATTGTGCCCGACTGTCCCAGCTGGATTCAGAACTGCAGACAGATTCCTCCCCACTTCATCACTGTGCTTTTATCTCCTCTGGATCTGGGGCAGTTTACCTCTGCCTCTGAGCAGCTGTAAAAACCCCATAAATACATTGCTCCAGATTAGAAATGCAGGGACAGGAGATGTGGCAGATTGCTCAGACCGATCGAATCTGGCATTTATCACAAAGGCTGCCGTCTGCCTTCTGCTCAGGTTAAAGGAGAAATGCTGCTCAATCACCGTGAAATCGAGAGCTGGATCTTGAGGAGGAAATCACTGGCCCAGGTTGGGCTGTTCCATGCAGGGTTCAGCCCTTTCCCCATGAGGAGCATCCCCCAGAGCCCTGCCCCACGTACCCATCTGACAGTGATGACCAGCACGGCCGTCCCGATGGGGCCCGAGTAGACGCCGTAGCCCCAGCGGTTGTGGTAGATCCTCACGGCGATGGTGAGGACGCCAAACATGATGAAGGTCGATCTCTTGGGCTCGTCAAACTCTGCCAGGGCTGAGGGACCGAGCACAGGGAACATCAGCTCACAGCCCCCCTTTTTCAGCTGCTCCCCCAAAGCCTTCCTGGGGTTTCTCCCACCTGCCCTGGGGTTGCATCCATGTCTGGTTTGCCCTTCTCACGTCACACTGCTGGGGAAACTGAGGCACATGGGGCAAGGCAAGCCATCCTGAGGCATCTGACTGGTGGGTCCAGAAGATGATTGTTGGGGTTTTCTTTCAGCATGGGGAAGCTTGAAGGAGATTCCCTACCCAGAGGAGCCGTGGCTGCCCCTCCCTGGAAGCATTCCAGGCCAGGTTGGACAGGGCTTGGATAAACCTGGAATAGCGGAAGGTGTCCCTGTCCATGGCAGGGGTGGAACAAGATGGTCTTTAAAATCCCTTCCCACTTGAAACCACTTTATGATTCTTTGATTTCCCTTTTCCTTGACTCAGAATTCAGAGGTGATTGCAAAGACCATCCTGCCCTGTGAACCCACAATCAGCTCTTGGGTTCACCCTGATTTTCCAGCCTTCCCAAACTTGCCAGCTCACTCTGGCACCGGCTCCATCACCTCAGTGCAGTGGGACTCCCAGCTGGTGTTGATAGTAAAAGATTTTAAAATCATAGAAATTTCGGGGAGTTAGAAAGAAAGTTAGGCTTGGCAAGCCCTGGGAAAGGTGTTAAAAGTAGGCCCTGGGAAATGTTAGACCTCATGCTTGCTAAGATCATGTGAAACTTCACCTGTGTGGTCAGTATATGATATATATATATCATATATATGTATAATTGTTAGATGTGATTAGATATAATTATTGTTTAAAGAATCATGAGAAACTATGTTAGGGGTTTGAGGGGGATCACGAGAAATCCATTCTTGGGTAAAATCAATACATACAATAGAACAGTAAGTTTAATAATTAATATGTAAGTCGTATAGAGTATAAAAACATGTTCAGCTCAAAACCAAGTCAGGTCAGATCTGGGTCTGTGTACCCCTGACACCCAGAGCTCGTTAATAAAGCACCTCCATGTAATCATTCTGTGATTATGTGTTCCTGAACGCTAACAGTGTCATGGGGTCCCGGCTGCCTGTCCACGCCGGCACCTGCCTGGGGTTTGCAAGCTGGAAATCACCAGTGTGAGTAAATTATTAGAGGTTTTTGTTTAGCACAGAATGGGGTAATAACTGATAAAAGTTATGGATCCCAGTGGGCTCCGTGCTTTTCCAGCTTGCACAGCTGTGTTATGGCTGTCCTGGATTTGCATTCCGGGAAGTTTGCCTGAGGGTCTACGTCCGCACATGTGCTCTGGGGCTTTACAAGCCACAGTGAGAGGCTTCCCTGGGCTTCAGTCACCACACCTTCCATGTCCTTGGATCGTGCTTTTATAGGGAATTTGGCTAAGGGATAATGTCCGCATGTTAATCTCTGTTGTTTCCCAGAGGGTCAATATTTTAAACCTCACAGTCCAGGATTTGTATTTTTTGGTGAGGTTTTTTGAACGCGGTAATGAAGCAATCAAGTTGAATTTTGCTGTAAGGAGCCAAAGTGTCTGGATCAGCTCTGACCTACTCTGACACTGCTGTTAGCCACTGAAAATGCCCTTTGGAAATGATTTGCCTTGTTGCCTTTTCTAGCTGAGCAGAGAGAGCACTGAAGTGCCCTGAGCAGTGAGGGAGTCCCCCTTGGGACTCACATTTTGACAGGACAGAGCCATTTCTAAGGGTAATATTTTTCCCCCACATTTTTCCCTTCATGGAAAATTTATCCTATTGTATGCCCTGGAAAATGGGTGCTCCTGCATCCCCACGGGATGAATCTGCCCAGCTGAGGGGTTCTACCCTTGCTCATGGAACCCCATCCCTGCTGGAGATTCTGCACCATCCCTGGAGCCCTGAGGGGCAGAGAGAAAAGCCTTTGGGGCATTTTGGGGCTGTACATTGGAATGCTGACCCCAGCTCATCATGGGGAGAAATGAGAACTCGATCTGGACTGGGCACTGGTTAGAAATGGCTGAAATTTTTGAGCAAAACCTTTGCTGTTAGAACATCTGTCTCCCCTGACCCTGCTCTCTTCTCCTGTCACCAATACTCACACCCTTCCAAAAGTCGTGGTGGCAAAATGGGAAAATGGTAGGTTTGAATTTTTGTCTTACTTGGTTTTCCCCCCCCATTTCTATTATGTTTTGTTTCAGTAGCAAATAAGGAACAAAATGAGGAAAAAGAGAGTGAAGCAAACGTGGGAAAAGGAAAACTGAATAATGGGGCAAGGGGTGGGATTTATAGTAAAAAGGAAGTGAAATAAATTTCTGACTTTTCTAAGCAGATCTAATATTCCCATCAGCCCAGACCAGGCTTTTGATAAACCAGGAAGTTATATTTGTTTTGACTAAACCACTTTGATTCTCATGCTACCAAGGCAAGTGGGAGATTCTGCATTTCTTAATGCCCCTAAGGGAGGCAAGACAAGCTGATGGGCCTGGGATGGGGAAAATGAGGAGAAATGGGAAATTCCCTGGTATATGAGGTTTCAGACTCAGTCATCTCATAGTCTTGTCCTGCCTTGAACTGCAGCACAAGGCTGCCAGTGTGTTATTGTCATTTGAAGCAGAGGACAGGCAGAGGAACACCCAACCAACACCACCAGCAGGTGCCACAGCTCTTTATCTCCAGGAGCAAAACATCCCCAGCCACCACTCAGGACAGTTCCATGTCTGGACCCCACCAATTACAATGACTTTCCAAGGTGTTAATGATGCAAAATTGGATATAAAAAACCCCAAAACCAGCACAGACTGACTTCCACAAAGGGCAATTTCAGTGGCAGCTCAGGTGGAGCTCAGAGCCAGCAGCATTTCTGGGGACTGTCCCCACTGACTGTCCCATCAGCCATCCTGATAAATCCAGCCCTTCCTGCCAGTGCTGGAGCTTTTGGGAGCCAGAATAGACCAGTTCTTACCCATCAGGGACACCCAGATGGACAGGGCTGTTCCGTAGATGCTGAAGTACTCCAGGATGTCGTAGCGCATAAAACACAGCACTGATAACCCAGGGCCGTCACAAACATGGTAAAACTATTCAAAAAGAAAAAAAAAATATTAGAAAAGCAGTTTCTTGCCCACAGACCAGTAAGGTAAAGGCTCTTATCAGCTGGTTTGAAATAGTGTAGCTGCTGAGAGGATGGCCAGCTAGGCCAGAACAGTGTCAGCTACACCAGGTTCACAGATATGCAGTAATGAATATATTTGAGTGATAATGTCATCGTTCCCAGTTGCAAATTGCCCAAGAATCAGCATTCTTCTCTCTTAGTACAAACTAAGACAGGGTTTAATTTGCTTCTTGGCCAGGATTTGCAATCTGATGACCAAGCTGCTTTGAGCCAGGCACGGGGGGAAGGCCTCTCCAGCAGAAGGACTCTGGGGTTGTGGTTTTAATTGCAAAAGATTCTTGTAAAACAATTCAGAATGAGTGTCCTGATGAAATGTGTATGGATGCCAGGTCACTGTCCAGGCTAAACAGAGTTGATATGGCCAGATTCTGAATACTGGGGAATTCACTCATTAGTACATTCCCTTAAAAACCACCAGTTCCTGCCCATTAGCTCATTGATTAGGTTATTTGCAAAAAAACCCCATTGTCATGCAACATAAATGCAGACCACGCCAAGACATATCCTCCAGTGCAGTCAGAGGAATGCTCCCAGTGTTTGCCTGGCTCTCTCCTTTTCCTGCTAGCCCTCATCCCTGTAGGTTCTGCAGTGGCAGCCCCAGAGAGTTCCTGAAGAAGTCCCTGCTCTGCTTGGCTGCACGCCCTTGGAACGCTGCTCGCTGTCACGGCCCGGTGGGGATGCTGATATAATTTATAATAGGAATTGCTGTAAGCCCTCTGGCTGGCTGCAGCTTCTAGAAACGATTGCACCACGGTCGTAATTCTTTTCCCTGCTTGAGATTGGGCTCAGGGAGTCTGGAGCCAGGGGGAAGAAAGGGTGGAAGGCAGAGTGTGTTCCTGGCACTTGTCTGCCACGGCCATGTGCTTTCACTGCTCTGTTCAGCTCTCCTGCAGGAGGAGGAGTGGGATGCTACAAAAAATGCAACAACAGCAGCTGCTGCCCTTCCAACACCCTCCCCACCGTGCTGGCAGCTGCCTCTCCTCCTTTCCCTTCTTTCCTTTCCCCACTCAGGGATATTTCACTTATTCAATCTCTTTGGAGAGGACCTGTTCTACCCCCCATCAAAACACATGCCAATTTTCCTACTTATTTCTCGGGGAGGTGGAGCAGACACAGACCCAGTGCAAAATGAAATTGTGGATGTCTGGCTTCCCTGGGGAGCTGGGGCTGGGGGTTCAGGGATGTTTTCATATTAACTGGTCCTGTCGTTTTTATAGAACTGGCAGAATTTCTCCCTCTGCATCATGCTTTAATCAGCTCACATGGTCAGGGATGTTCTGTGGATCCTTAATAGGAGACCAACCTGATTCTGAGCCCTGTGAAAGAGCTTTTCACACTGGGAAGATCCTTTATCTACTCCCTGCCTCAGTTTCTCTGTACAAGGAACATGCCAGCCCTCAAGAGATGCCTTGAACTGGATGGGGATTAGTGGGAAATGCAACATTGGCTGGGTTGCTGAGCCGTTTCCTTCATATTCTTTAGCAGATCATAGAAATGTAGTAAAACAGGAGATTTTTTCCAGGGGGAGTGCTGCTCGGGGTGCTCAGCTGGTGTCTGTATGGAGTCACTTAGCAGGGATACAAAGCCCAGGGCAGCACACTGCTGGGAGCAGGATTAGGAATATTTTATATATTTACAGACATTTCTTCGCTTGTTACTTCCACACTAAGGGAATCAGAGCCTGGTAAAACACACATTTCAACCCACAAAGGGTTAATAATTATTTTTCTTAGTAGCTCAGCAGCATGTTTTAGTCTCTCTTTTCCCAGTGCAGAAACTCCCCTGACTCCAGCATTGCTCCCATCCCCAGCTGGCAATTGCAAAATCAATAATTCGACTACTATGTGCTTTTGGCTAAAATGACAGGGGCAGAGCAAGAGATTCTGGAGGCAATTTAAAGCCCAAATTCAGCATGGCCACTTAGTAGCTGTAAAACAAAGAGAAAAGCCAGCTCCAAAGCATTGCAAATCAGTCAAGGCTCTTTGCACCCAGACCCTCTCCCTAATCTCAGTCATGAAACACCACTAAATCTCTGTAAGGCCACACTGGAGGACATCCTAAACTGGAGAATCAGCTGCTCAGCACCACACACAGTGGGAAATAACTGAAAAGGGATATTTTAGGGGTTGTGCTGGCTGCTGTTGGGTGAATCAGCTTCTCAGCGGTACAGGGGGCATTTGGGAGGATAAAACATGCAGGGAGAGGGGAAATTGGGAACTTCTTACCGCCACGAAGAACATGGTGAAGAAGTAAACCATGGCTTCCATGTGGAAACGCCGCTTGGCCGCGATGCTGATGGTGGGGAGGAAGGCCAAGGAGCTGAGGGTGGGCAGAAGGAGCTTGGCCACCAGCGAACCCATTGGTACCTCGTGAACCTCCCTGGAACCAGGTCTCTGTGAGCTGGGCAAGAACGGTGGAGAAAGCACCGTGGGGAGCGTGCTTTAAAATTTAAATGCCCTGCGTGGCAGGAGGGCTGCGGGCAGGGAACAGCTGCCACCGCCACAGCCGCCGCCTGCGCTCCCGTCTCATCCCAAATTCTTGACGCAGCCAGTGGCTCCGGGCAGCAGATGCTCTGTGCCCCCAGAGTAGTCCTGGGTGTTTCTAAAAGAGTCAAAGGGAATGTTGTCCTTGTGTTGGGTGTTGGATTTGGGTACATGCTGGGTGAGGACTCTGGGTTTGCTCGCTCCTCATGAGGACATCCCACTCCCACATCCTGCTGCCCCTGTGCCGAGCCTGGGTCAGGGCTACTGGAGCAGTGCAGCAGGGAAAATCCAGCTTCTTTCCTCACCAAGTGGAGGGGCAGGCACTGATCTGTCCTCTCTGGTGGCCAGGGACAGGACCTGGCACTGTCCTGTGCAGGGTGAAGAGCTGAACTCGATAACGCCTGTGGATCCCTCGCATTATTTATTATTCTCAGCTCTGCACTTCCACGAAGGAAGAACTGGTGTCTGACAGGCACCAGCGTTTTTTCTTTAAACAGTGGGATGTATCCTACGACCTCTGTGCACTTGAGAAATACACACCAAGCTCCAAACCTGCCTTTCATTTCCCCACGGGGGCACACGTGGAGCTGGTGTGACCCAGCACCCAGCGCCTGCTGCCAGTGCCTACGTGCCCTCCGTGGAGCTCCGTGCAGCTCAATTTCCCAGCCGTGCCCCCAGCCTGGCCACCTCCAGGAGTTCTGTCTGAATTTCAGGAGCCGAGCGTCTCAGGGCTGGAGGAATTTGAGCAGATTGTCGTGCGGCGCAGAAAACCGGAGGAAAGGAAACCAAAAGCCAAGCGGCGCTTGGGCTGCTAATCCACTCAGTGCTTCTCTTTTATTATGACTTTTTATTATATCGCTGCTGCTCCCCCCCTGCGTTAATTTCTTTTCCTTGGAGCCTCGCAGAGATTCTCGGCATCCTTTCGGCACAGCTGTTCCCGGGACACAGGGAGCAGGAATGCTACGCTTGAGCAAGCGCCTTTGTGGCTGCGGCTTTGGGGAGGAGGGTGGGAGCTCTGATAGGAGCCACCATTTGTGGGGCTGATAGGATGGGATGGTCTGTCCTGCAGGAGGGGGTCTGGAGAAAAGACAGGCACGCATGGATAAAATAAAATCCTCTTTAAACCACTCCAGTAGGTTGGAAAGGGCTCTGGAGGGGGAGTGAGGGCGTGTGTGGGTGTGTGTGTGTGCAGGGAATGGCACAGAGCATTAAAGCACTGACTTTAACTCTGTGCCGAGAGCCTTCCCCAGGGCACAGCTCAGATGAGCTGGGTAGGGCTCCTGTTTTTAGCTGATACTGCAGGAACCATCCACATTCCCTGGCTGGCTGCAGGCAGCATCCCTCCACAGGACGCTGCCCACACCACATCTCCAGCCGCCCTCCCGCCTGGGCAGGCTGTAAACTTACCACAAAACTCTGCAAAACTGAATCTTGACCAATAAATATTGAAAAACTCTGCTGTCCCTATTTACTGTGGAAATTAATCCCTCCAAGGCAGCACATAAATACCCTGATGCTCCCCAGGTGTCCAGCCCTGAGCTGAAAGCAGAGTTCCAGCACATCCCAAAGTACCCTGCTCCTTTTTTGGGCCATATCCTCAGATGAATCCATTATTCTGTGTTCATGATCTGCTTGGACCAAGGACAGTGCCGTGGGGCACAGCAGGGCTTGTTTTCAGGGGGGTTTTGAGCAGATTGGGGGTTAAGAGATTGCACAAACTACTGTGGATTCCCAGCTATGAAAATATCATCTGCCCTGCCTTTGTGGCCATGAGACAGATGTCAGAGAGGTGAAATCACAGCTCAGAACCTGCTGCTGAGGGCAAACCTCCATGTCCAAACCTCTGCACCATGTCTGGGTGCAGAGCAGCCCCCCACCACTTGTGAGGACACGGCAGTCGTGCAACAAGGACGTGCAAGGGTGGTGGTTGTGCACAAGGCAAATGGCATCAGGTAAAAAATACCATTAGGCAGTTGTTAAATACATCCCCCTCATCCCCAGCCTTTGCCCAAAATCCAGCTGGCACCCATGGGAAAGAAAACCCCGTCGGCTGCTGGATGCAGCGAGTGCCAGCCATGGCAGGCAATCCCAGGCAGGGAAGTGTTGGAGTTCTCAGAAGCAAGAAAACATTCCACAGGTTGTTGGGGTTTTATTCTATTTCTTTTTTTTTTTTTTTTTCTCTCCCAGCTGCATACCCATGGCTGGCAGTTGTGTTGCAGCCAGCACTGTAGGCACTGGGGAAAAGAGCTTCCACCGGGTCACACACATGTTTCAGCTATTATTGAAAAAGAGCCCCCCCAAAATAAATGGGGAGGAGAGGGGCAGGCAGGTGCTGAGCTCCTGGCAGGGGCTGCTGCTGCTTAAAAGCTCTTTGTTCAGGCTGCAAACACTGTGGTGCAGACGTGGGTTGGGCAAACCTTCCCGGGAAGGAACCCAAAAAACAAAGGGCCAGGACTTTATTCCTTCTCTCCTAAACAGGTAGGAAATGGGGAAAGAGCAAACTTTAGCTCCTGAGTTTAAGTGCTGCTGGAAAGGGAATTTTTAAATCTGCATTCCATTGGGCTAATTTTGTGTGGATCGGCGTGCATGCAGGAACGGTGATATATATGGCTGAAAAGTGGCTCCCAGATGCCAAACCCAGGTTCTGGTATGCTGTCCTGGATCCTTCCAGGGTAACATTAACCATGGCTTTCTGCAAGCACTTCTACCCTTTCAACTCAGACATTGCAGTGAAGGAAAGAGACACAGAGAGTTTTGTTTTATTTTTAATATGAGGGTGATGGTTTGAAAGCATATGTTGGAACAGGGGAGGAAGGGGCTGTGCCAGCTGAGAGTATTGAGAGTATTTTTGCCTTGGGGTAAGTATGGGATGATCTTTCATCTGCCTGTGGTGTAGACTGGGTCAAAAATTGAAACCTGCTCTGTTGAGTGTCACCAGTCACTGCTAGGCTGGAAATACAGGTGATAATGACCCAAAAACAGAGAGTGGAGCTGCAGTTCTACCTGGGGTTGCAGTTTGAAGGACTGTGATGCTACAAAGTGGTTTTTACCGCTCCCATTACTTCAGAGTTTAATTTTTCATCCCCACAACCCTTCAGCTTGTGCACTCTGATGCTGAGAAGCTGGATGGTGGCCTGGTCTCAGCAGGTGGATGTGGCAGAGCCCTGAGGAGCCCTGAGCAATCTGACCAGCACGGCACCACTGAGTTTGTGGAGATTTCCTGTCTTTTTTTGATCAAGAATCCTCCTGGGCTGGAAGTGGTGGTGCAGGAGTGGAGCAGCCCATGGGCACCAGCCCTTTCCTGCCCAGCTGGAGAAGGGATGGCAGCAGCACCAGGATAAAACACCCCTCCCCACCCACTGCTGTCTGTGATCAGGGCTGGAGGTGATCCCTGATGTGGGGAACACTATCTGGCCAGCTGGAACCCAGACATGGGCCCTGGCACCAGGGAAGGAGCCCCATAAGGCAGAGGCACCAGCTGTGCCAGAGCCCTCGCTCGGCCGCTGCTGCAGCCTCGGCTCTGATCACCCGGGCCCAGCCCTGCCAAAGCACCTGCAGCCTTCTCATTTTATTAGTGGAATAAATTGACACTTAAAATGTCCATTCTCCCTAAGGCCTGGCCCCATTTGAGGCAGATTTAGGTGAATAGTTACCCTTAAAAAAAATCCCCCTTCCTGTCTCCCTGTTGAATCAACCTACTAAGCATATTGCTCACAGATATCCCTGCTGCTGTTTTCCTTAGGGTTTTTTCACTCTTCCCTTTCCTCTCAGGCCTGTCATGGCCCATGACAAGCATGTCACCATTAATGATAAAGACATTTGATTTCTTGCCACCAGTTTTCTGTCACTCCTACCTTTGGGGTGTCCTGGGGTGGTCCCTCACTGCCAAATTCATGGAGGCAGTGCAGGGGTTTATTGCTCATTTCATGGTGTTTAATGGGTTTTTTTTACAGTCGTAACTCCTGGAGCCCAGCAAGAACATTGAGGGTCGCAGCTCTTACCCTGTTGGCCAAAAAAATGTCATTTTCTGCATAGAAATGCTTGAAGCTGTGACGCTTCAAGGCTTAAAATCCAAAAAGGGAATGAAACCAGTCTTAGGGTTTTTGGGGAGTCTGACTCACAGATTTTGAATGCCTGTGGTTGGCAGGGCTGCATAGCCGATGGCTCTCAGCACAATACTGCTCAACTTCCATGTCAGACTCATTCCATTCAAAGAAAAGCCTCTGTACCTTTTTTCCTTCAATCTTTAAATAGCTACAATTTCAAACTGAGCCTGACTTGCCTGGAAGCTCCTCCAGGTTCTTGCAGGAACGTGTAACCTTTGGGGACAGGTAAAATTGAAGCCTGCACAGCAAAAAGAGGCTCTTGAAACCATTGAAACTCTCCAGCCACAACCGTACCTGGGGTCACTGCGCTCACTCGTGGCTTTCAATCTGCCCAGAGATATTTTTCACAGGAATCTGATGGTGAGAGCAGCTCAGTGGCTTTGGCTGGTTCAGTTTGACTCAACATTTTCCAAATCTCCCCAGATGAAACCCTCACACCATCGTGACATAAATCAGCCCCGTCCCCAGTGCGTGGGGACACGCAGGGATGAGCTGCCTTGCCCAACACTGCACCGCAGATCTCTGCAAGGGACCATCTCTAAACAGCACTTCTGCCTCAAAACAACACTTCTTTTGGTCTCCTCTTTCTTGGTTTAGTTTCCCAATGGTGGGCCACAGCTGCTGGGGCTTTCTGGGGGGCTTTGATCCCCTTGGTAAAGTTCTGGTCATGCAAGGACCTCACACACTCTGTGAACAGCTTTAATCTGCCCATGCTGCACCAGTCTGGCCTGGAAATAGCTGCAGAAGTATCAAACAAATGCATCACTTCTGCAGTCAGGATTAAAAAATGAAGAAACCCAATCAGTTGCTTCATCCCTGAGGGAAGA